TTTAAAAAATTATTTAAAAATAAATGAAGTATGACCAGAATGCTCCTTTGAGGCAAGGATGGTGAGACCTAATCTCATACACTTTGGACATGTTATCAGGAGAGAGCAGCAGTCTAGAGAAAGACATCATGCTTGGTAAAGCAGAGGCACATCAAAAAAAAAAAAATAGGATGAGGAAGAAGAAGACCCTCAACAAGATGAATTGACACACTAGCTAAAAAAATTGGCTCAAACATAAAAATAATTGTAATCATGGCACAGGATGAGGATTTGTTTAATTCTGTTGTGCAAAGGGTCACTATGGGTCAGAACTAAATAGCTCCTAACAACAGCATTGTTATCAGCAGCACCCTTATATTACTGTAACTATTTTATAGCATATAAAAGATTACATATTTTGCTTAACAATTAAATCCATCTATCCAAAAGAAGAGAACATGCTAATAAGTAGTTAAAGTTCCTTTCAAGGGCCAAAACAATCAGACTACACTATTATTAATACAATTGTATATATGTTACAAAAGGAATTTAAATTTTTGAGTCTATTTTGAGTCAACTACAACCATCTTACTTTCAATAACTTGATGAATTATATAAATGAGTTTATGTTTTATTTATCTTATCTCAAATGTAAACCCACAATAGATTTTTTTTAATTCTTTGAAAAGTAATGCTACGAAATGTCTTGAGCAGAACCACAAATGTGCAGCACGGCACCAACGCACTGTTTTAATATACACTGAGAGGCCTATTGGTGCTCATCCCCGAAAGCAAGCATAGGAATTGATTGAAGTATTAGACCTTAACGTTTTTCTGACCATTAAATTGGTTTTCAGGGACTTGCTTTCTGTTTGCCCAAATGTTTGCCCAAATTAAGTGTAAAACAAATTAAATTTATTTCACGCTGATGCTTCTCCTACTCTGACTTTTCTGATGCCCACCTTCATAGTAAAAGGAAAATAAAGATGAATAAATAAAAAGTTTAAAATCATAATATAAGCAATAGTATTAAACCAATTAACTATTTTATCATTAGATTAGTAGGGTAACTTTATGTTACAAAAATGCTTCCATTAACATAGGCATTTACTTATTATCAATAAGGATAATAAA